GCAGGAATTTGGCTCAACAGCTCCATACAGCTCTGCAAAAGATCAGCTCCCTAAGTACAAGGGCCTACAAGTGCTCAGCTCCAGGGATGAGAATAAGGTGGACTCTGCACAGGATAGACTCAGAAATGCAGCAGTCCAACAACACAACCCTGGTGCTCACCAACGCAACGCAAGTGGACAAGAGACCCCCACAAACACACCCATCACTGCCAGCTGCAGTGCCACATCACATCCCTTGTACTCAGATGATTGCCCAACCTTACGAGTGCTCTGTTAATTCAGCTGATAAAAATTATGCTCCTGGGTTACTTCCTAAACAACAATGACTTGGTGTTAGCAATTGTTTCCAAGCTGTATCTATCTGGGAAACATCAGTTTCCTTTCTTGGATTGCTTGTTTTTTCCATGGTATTAAATGCTATCTAGGGAAGACTAGTCCAGCAGCCACTTGAAGGCTCTCAGCAAGAGAAATTCTAGTTGGGACTGTTCTGCCTTGTTACCCAGGCTGAGCTTTCACAAGCCTACAATGTCAGTCATGGGCTGCGTCTACTAAGATATCAGGTCCTAGGTGCAGGCTTGTCAAGCCTGGTGAAGGATAGAGGCATTTAAAATGTAACAGGGTGAAATATCAATTTTTTATGCACAGTCCATCTTCTGGGACTGGTGTAACACCAGAGAAATGAAGAGAAGGAGGGAAGTCAAAACCCTGGGATCTGATACACACCTTCCAAAAAGTGCTTCATATGCAAAGATCTTGCAGCCATGGTTTAGCAGGCTGTCCCTGCTAGAGGTGAAGTTATGCCCAGGTCAGGGCTGAGCTACAGCTCTCACATCCCATTGCAAACTTAATACTTCTTTTGACGAAGCAGCATGTAGAACAGCCTAATCCTGCAAACAGTGGCTGGACAAAATTAAAATATATTGCACAGACTGATGACACTATATCTCTGCTGCTGACTATTACAGCTATCCATCCACTGAGGGCTTCCTGCTGCCAGATTGCACATCAAGATGGAGGAAAAATGCTTACAGGAAGTTCTTATTTCTAGTAGGAGACCAACTGAATACAGCTTTACAGCTAAATGATGATTTCTGACAAAGCATTAGGCTAAAAGTGGTTTAAAAAAAAAAAAACTCTATAGCACAGAAACATAGTTTCACTCTACAGATTGGATCAGGCTGAATTTGCAGGACTGGAAGTTAGATAAAAGAACTTTAATTTAACTTATAAAACTCAACAAGTGTGATCTGGAAGTCATTGATGGAGAATAAATGCAGAACACTAAGATGTAGAACTTTTACAGCCTCACTTTTCAGGCCATATAACTACACTTTAGAATTTAAAACAGCTGCTGTTCACCAGTATGTCTCTAGTGCCTAATTTTTAATCACGTAGAGGCAGCATGCCAAGTTTCCAGAATCTTTTTCCCAGAGCATCAGTAGTGTTCATAACATCTCTGCCTACTGATGAGATCGTGAAAAGAAAGGACTCTTGCTTTACCTTTCTCTGTGCTTGCCTGAGACATCCTACAGCTTCCTTGGTAGTGAAAACCTCTATTAAGCATTGCCTTTCACACCTCCGCTATTCTTCAGTCCCAGATAAGTGTTATAAATCTATTTGTGTGTAAACAATGACACCAAAACCCTCCAAACCAATTTCCCAGGAACTTCACTGTCTTTGGGTAACACACAAAGCCTTGTACACAGGAACAAGTTGGGAACTAAAACAACTTTCTGAAGGGTTTTGGAACACACTGGATCAGCTCTTCTGGAGCTGTATCTGTGCTAAAGTCTCATGCAAAGGGAGGAGGTTTGGCTGTGGTAGGGTGACTCCAACCTTGCAGTGCTCCAGCTCCCACTCAGCTGCTGCAGCACCCTGTGGGAAGGGGTGTACAGGAGAAAAGGACAAAGCACAGAGCTCCTGGCACTGCAGGAGGAGGTCTGAGAGACCTCACAGGAGAGATGGGGACATCCAGAAGGAAGCAAGGAGACCAGTTTGGGAGACTGATGGAGGTCAGGGTTCCCAGAAACTCTGGAGAGGGAAGGAGAGACAAGGGAGTTTCAGGCAGAGGAAGGCAGAGGATGAAGCTGGGTGCTGCCAGTACCCCTGCCCTGGACCCAAAGGTGGATGAGAAGGCTGCAAAATCCAGAGAAGAGAAAGGAAATAAATCCAGACCTGGCAAGGCTCTGGAGTGGGAGGATTCCATTGCCCTCATCTCAACATAGCAGTTTTCTCCTTGGCACAGGCACGGCTTAAGCAGGATCCTAATTAGACAGTCTTTGAAATTAGGGAGAACCAAGAAGGGAGGCACACAGCAGGGTCTCTCACAAGCACAGGAAAAGGCTTTGGCTGTGCTGCCGGAGGGCCTGTGTGTGAGCAGAGGGGAGGGGAGAAATGGCTTCAGCTACTCGTCATTTTGTATGGAGCAGGATGAAAAAGTCTGTAATTCTCCCACTGGAACGTCCTCTGAAACTGGAAGGCAAAAGCTCCTCACACCAATTAATACTTACTTTCAGGCCAGGGGGACCAGGTAAACCAGGGTTTCCGTGGGGACCTGGGGGACCCTAAAAAACACAACAAACAAAATAAAGAGTCAAAAGTTGTCAGTAGGCATCTGCATTAGTCCCAGGAGCAGCAGAAAGTTTCAGGCTGTGCCTGGGCCAGACCTAAAGCACAGCACCAGCAGCCTGCACCCAGCAGGAGACAGCATCACCAGCACCCTCCTTAGGACCTTGAGAGCTGTGAAATTTGGCTGCCAGTTCCCACCTACCTTTACAGTTGGTTACATGTTTGTCACTACAAGATGTGTCAGGACAGTGAGATAATTTGGGTACACCAAATATTCTACAATCAGGAACAGAAACTACTTTGGGGTCAGAGGAGTGAAAGCTCTGCAAGGAGCCCCAGCAGAAAGAGATGGAGGTAGGCAGAAGGGAGGGGAAGCGTGGTAGGGTGTTAACAATTGTTTTGGCTAAAATGGAAGAGAACACAACTAATTGCTAAAGGCAAATTTTAAATTGTTCAGCTATTTGAGATGAGCTGATTTCCCTAGAAACCAGATTCTTGCCTTTAGAGGTTAGAAAGAGAACGGATGGCCAGACAGTAAAACAGCGGGAGCAGAGGTAAGTCCCTGTAAAAAACATTTAAATCTATATTTTTGTATAGGTCTGACAAGCCAATGACACTGTCAGAGTATCTACCTCAGATCACATACAGCAGCATCTCCTTTTGCATCATATGTTAAACCACCCTGCATATTTTCCGAAGACTATTTATGGAGTTATCTGGAATAAGCAACTGAGAATAGTTTATCCCAGGATTGTATACAGCACAGAAGATCTGTTAACCTTTCAGGCAGAAGTAATAACAATTCTAAGTCCTCTTGAACACGTTCCTGGGAGATGAAACAACCTGAAGATTCAATTCCAAGGGCTCCTGTTCTGCCAAGACTGTGTGTGAGCTTTACACCACCACGAGGAGCACTTTAATGTACCTTCTAGTTAGGAGGAGCACAGGCTAGGGGATAAAAAGACACTCAGACTCTTTGTCAGTAAGCTGTAGTATTTCTGATGAGCTCTTCAGCATATGTGGGGCCAAAATCTTCAGGGTCTGATTTCCAAGGAAAATCACTGCAGTTAGACATGTGACTGCCATCCAAGTTCAGTGCCCTTGCTCTCTTTTGAGAGAACATCAGTGCGCTGATGCCTGTTCAGTTTTATTTTTGCTACACTGTAATAGAAAATAATGGCTTTTTTTATTTAGCTATTGTATTTTGTGGTATAGACAGTTGTTGAGCACTTAGTCCTATTTCACAACACATGCTGCTCTGCTGTAAGAGGCTGTTCAATTAAAAAGCTGAGGCTTTTTTTACCCAAATAAATATAATGTCCTATTCTTAAATTCCTTCCAAATTTTCAGCCTGAAATTCTCTGATAGTTTAGCCTGGCTGTGAATTTCCAATGAAACTGAAACAACTCTAATTAAAATTAATGAGTATCAACCTGTGATTTGAAAACCCATGTACCTGCTGTAACCAGAGTAACTGAACACCAAGTAGTCTTAAATAAATTCATCTTCCCAGCAAACTATGGAATCATCTGTTCGCCTCATTGGGTGAGACAATGAAAAGGAGACTTAATGTGCCACTTCAGGCAACTGAACAAGTCTGTGGTAGCAAAAGTGCTTCAACCCAAGTCTTCCAAGTTTGAAATATGTATGGAAATTAATATTAAGTTACAGAAATCAGAAAAGTAAAGTCTATAAAAGATGAGTTTCTAAAAAGCTCTTACACGTAAGCAGTAATCTAGGTAGCTCTGAACAGGGTTCATAAATCCAGACTACTGCTAAATTTGAAGAGGGAATTCAGCTGTTACTCAACTTTGGAGTCAGGCAGCTTGGCTCAGAGCCCATTTCAGTGCAGTTAGTTGAAATCCGTGCTCCACCATAGCCTGGGGCAGGCTTAAACCAGTGTCAGACTGGAGGGAACAGCTTGATTTAGTGTCACTCAAAATGATAGTTTCCAGAAGGAAACCTGGAACATGGGAAGCTCAGCTGCCAATCGAGAGCTTCTGTATTAAAGACTAATCACACCTCCAGCAAAATTTGATGCTGGCTCTTCCAGAGCTAAACCAAAGTACAGCAACACAATCATAAAAAGCCTTAACCAAAAGGAGAGAAGAAGAATCTAGTCTCAGTATCCAGTGACAAAACATGTGATTATGAAAAACAGGCTCTTGACATTAGATGGAGGCTTTACCACTGAATTCAATGAGAACCGTAGCGTGTAACCCAGGCAAAGGAAGGTCAGAAACCCATCCTGTTCCCAAAGCCCAACGTGGTCTTATCCTAGTGAGAAGTGGCCACATGATGCTGATGAAGTGACAGTGGGAAGTCCAGTCTGGCACTAAAGAAACTGCTGTAACCAAGTCTGGGGCTTGTGCTAGACATTTTAAACTGCTCTTGCAACTGTGGAGAGAAAAGGGCGTAGTCTGGCAGTAGTCCTAAAAATGATAAAAAATAACTGATCTCGATGTGTTCCAACATGGTTAGTCCTGAATCTGTGATTACACCCACATTCTTGGCAGAGGAGGAGGATGCGGTGTGGTACAGTTAGATGGGCTCAGTAACAAAAGGTACAGGACAGCATCTGCCTCAGGAACTGTTAGCAACACTAAATCTGAACAGGTAGGCCTTACAAATTAATCCATGCACCAATCCACAACAGTCATCATGCCCCCAAGCTACCTACCCTTGTTTTACTAACTCAGTCCAATGCTCATTCCTTTTCTCCTACTGCACCCAGCAGAACTACCCATCTCCAGCCAGTGCTCCCGGAAATAGCCCTCTCTTCATGAAGAAGCAATTCAAGAGCTAATTGCTTTCTAGTTCTATAGTTAATTTCTACATTTTATTCATGCTATCCTGGATTTAATTTAATTTCCCCACTCACGTCTAGAAATTGGGATTCTCCTAAATATAGTTATCAACACTATGTTAGTTTTGCTCCTCTTTTTCTACACACAGGATGGGACAATGCTGAGACCACTGAATTAAAACATCCCACAGCATGTATTACCATTTGTACACGTGCCTGTTTACCCACCCGCTTTGCCTCCCTTATAACTGCTGAAACAATCCAAACTAGTGGCAAGCAAACTTGCATCTGAAATCTTCTAAGCCTTGCACCAGAAATTCCATGGAAAACATTACCATGGGACAGCAGCGGCCCAAGGCTCAGTGGCACGGAGACCAGAACAATCCCTGAATGTGTTCACCAAATGAGGAGGGGTTTCCAAACGGTGACGGGTTTGTAACCTCCCTGGAATGTCTTTTACGTGAACGATGCTACTTGAGAACTACACTGTGCCATCCAGTTCATCTCGGTGACGTGCCTGGAGATGGGACCCTGCTCACAGAAGCGCTTTTATGTGTACTGGTTCACAGCCTGCAAAAATTAACAAAAGTGTAACTGTGCACAGCTCCCCTCATCCCTCCCGCATTCACAAGGAGGGGAAAAAAAAAATCCTCTGAACTCCTGCTAAATGCTAGAAAGCTTCAGTCAGAGGAATGACCACTCATTCAAAACTCATTATGTCCTGGGGTTTCACTGTGTAAAGCAACTTTTTCTGCTCCTGACCTACAGATCCCACTCTGACCTCTGGCTTGCTGAAAAATGAGATAAATATTTGAAGTGAAGCCAAACAAACTGTTTCTTTAAACACTTCTTTTCAGAAATTGGAGAATCTTTTTAATGGAATGAGGATACCAGGAAACCTCTACAGCTGACCAAGTCCTTGCTTGTTTTAGGAGGGAATTCCTGCATTTTGAAGGAAAGGGAGATTTTTTGCAACCACAGACCAAATGTAACAGGGACATGTTACACCGGGACTTTGCAATCTTTCAAGCTGCTAAGGTTCACAGAAGGATGGCAAGAGCATCCCAAAGCATCAGTGAGTTCATACGTATTTTCTTCACCCATCCTTGGGGACATTTTTCAGAGAGGTTAAACGAAACAAGAGCAATTGCAGCATACCAGGATTTATATTCCCAATTCTGCCTCTGGTGTGTTATGTGGATGTGGGTAAAACACTCCCCTTGTACCTGAGTTTGCTCATCTGTTAGGGAGGGAGACTGACTTCCAGTTGGATCTGGCTTCCTAAATTATTTAAGTGTTTCAGAAAGTTTGACCTTAGCTCTTTTTCTGCTGTCCTGGGTGTGAAGCCAACAACCAGACTCCTGTCTGTCACATATAGGCTTGCTGTCTCCTTCATGTAGGAGAGGGACACATAACTAGGGTTTACATAGCACTCACCAGGAAGGCAGCATTTAAGACCAAGTATCAGAGCTCACAGTACTTTTCTCAGACCTGATTAAACCATGGGTAGTTTGCTGATCTAACTATACCATGGAGGACTGCAACAAGTCACAGTTTGTGATCGACATGGATGTGCTGGTAAAAGCTTCCTGATGCAGACAGCCTGGGAGGGAAGCTAATCGAGTCCTGGGTGAGGCAGGAATAAGCGACAATCGTGCAGAAGTTATTGCTCCACGGGGAGCCCTATGTTGACAGTTACTTGTAGAGCTTGTTAGCACAGCTCTGCTGGTAAAACCCTGCCTCGGCCACTGCCTTCCCATTAAACCTTGATGTTTGAAGAAATGCAAAGGTCATCTGCAGAAATGAAGTGCAACACACATGGCTTGCACAGAACTGCTCTGTGCAGGTTGCACCTGAGTGCCACTGCTCACACACACAGCTGTGGAAAGGTGTCCCACTACATGCCCGATGAAGTGCTTTCACATCACAGAAACTTGGGGAAACCTTTCATTGCTAAAACCATCCTTCCCTTCAAGAGGCACCTCAGATGTCTCACGGATACTGGCCAAGGCATGTGGCACATTCATTTGAGGAGAAGTGGTATGGATAGATTTCTTGCTTATGCCTCAAATTATTTAATGCAGACATAAAAACTGAAAACATTCTTATCTCAATAACGACAGAGAGAAAAGGTTCCTGTAAAGTGCACATGACCAATACAGCAATATCTATACAGGTTTGCAGAGCTCCTGAGAAAGTGTGTTAGCCATCATCTCCAGTCATCAGAACTGCAACATTTTTACTCCTTTCCCTTGGAGTCCCATGGACAATAATAAGAAGAAACATCCAGCTTTCATTTGTTTGTATCTCTGCCATCAGAGTTGCAGATAGTAGACATAGGTATAATCTGACATAGTGGGTACCTGATGTTGAGCGATAGGGTGTAAAATTAATTCCATGTTCCTAAAATGGGGATTGGCTTTTAAAAATCAAGAAATTGTCATTTTCAAGACAACTGCCACTATCCACTTAGCTGCCCTGCTTCGGGGTTGCACTTGAATGCTGAGATGTGTCCTGAACACAACCTCTTTCATGCCTTTACAAAGGCTAGCATTTGTTATTGCAAACCAGGTGGCATTGCTTACATGGAAGAGCAACATTCAGACTGTACAGGCAAGTCTAGAGATACTTATCTGCTGGGAACAAGGAGACAGAACCATGGGATCAGCCAGCTTTTCTTACAAACTGTCACTGACCACAATCTCACCCTCAAAGCAATCGCTAATCAGAGCTTTTATTTCACCCTGAGCAACATGAGGGAAGAAAGGGAAATAAAACATAGACAATATAGAATTCAAAGAGTGGAAATACTGCACTACATCAGCAAGAGCCACTGTAAGGATTTCACAGCTACAGGAGGTCATGAGTCAAATGCTGTGACTAGATTTTCAAATGAGTAGAGTAATTGTATAAACATTAATAATGTAGAAATTATGCAAGCTACAACAAAGGCAATTATGTCTCATGCTTTAGGCCATAAACTGCATTGGTGACAAGAAAAAAAATCCTTCCTTTCCCCTGGCATCCAACACTGTAAAGTTGCACGCAATATTTACCTCACCTCAGGAGCTCCAATCTTGGGCTGGAGCTTCATGGAACACCTCATGGGTTACCCATGAGCTGGGCTGGTGTAAGAACAGTGTTACTGCTTTCTTTGAGGATCAGGTTAGGCAGAGGTAGAACATAACCCCTGTGATATTGCACATTTATTTTTAAGTGGCTCATGCACAACAAAAACAAAAGACATAAGAATTCCCCTAATCCTGTCTTAGTTTCTGGCAGCTGCTCTTCTTTGCAATAAAATCCTTAAACCCCAAAGAGCCACAAGAAAAAAATACTAGAAACGTGTTGCAAAGTCAAAACAACTTACGCACAGAGCAGTTCTGCCTCCAGTGCTCCAGGCCAGACATTTACAGAGTGACCCTTTTGCCCCCTCCCAAAATTAGCACAGCCTCTTTGCAGAGGTCTGAGCCAAGCCAGGCTCAGCTGTGCTGAGCACTTCCTAACTGGGAACTCTTTCCTGGGCCGATTCTCAGCACCTCTGGCAGGGACTGAACTCAGAAATCCTCTATTGCTTATTGTCTTTCAGAGGATCATCTTAGATATAGGATGGAGCATGCCACAGCTGGGGAATAACACAACAGTTATGACACGGCTTCCACAACGCTTTTTTCTTCAGAAAAACTCACGTGTTGGTAGGTAGTGGAATTTGGATGTAGAGCTGAAATTTGATCATCCACCCAGCAGGCAGGGGATGCAGCTGGGGTCTCCAGACATGGAGTCTAGTTTGCACACCACAGGATTGCAAGAGGTAACACCAAACACCTCTCCTGAGTAATGAGCTGGGGTGAGAACAAACTTTCAGCCTTAAGAACTGCAAACTCCGGGCAATTTGCTGATGTGGTTGCTGCTCAGGTATTTGTAAACAGAAGACATCAGGGCTGTCGTGCTGATACTTCACTAAAGAACATACCTAATGTAGAACAGATTGTCCTGTTCATAAAACACATGAGCCTGGTGCTATCTAATGCCTTACACTTAAGGTCCAGGTCAGCATGCAGGTCTGCTAACATCCACACCCAGGCTGCCAGGGGTCCTGTGGACCTTTCAGGATTTACTGTTATAGAAAGAAGTTGCATTTATCTTTACCGGTTACTACAAGATCTCACAGGACTCTAACAAGTGTCCTCAGGGAACGTACAGCCTTCTAGCTCTTAGCCTCTTAGTTGTTCTTTAATGACATTACATGGGGTTGAGTTTTAGCCAAGTATGTGTGAGGAAATCTCCCTCTGCTGCCAGGACAGGATGCTGCTTGGATCACGGATCCAAATATTGCCTCCTTCCAGCCTCAGACACTTGCATCTTTTGATTCCCAACCCACATCAGTTCACTGCTCAGGAAATGGGCTCCATGACCCCATGACCATACCCTGTGGGACAGCACCTTGCTACCATGAAAATGGTGCCAACAGTTAACTGTATCCAGGTCAGGCATGCTGCCCAGCTTTGGGAGACTACTTCTGCAGCTAGGCCAATGCAGAAAGCTTTTCTCATAGCTAGCCACAGCACTCAGTACCAGAGGTTTCCTCAGCATAGCACTCAATAGTCAAAGATCTGCATCAGAATTCAATGTAGGGTGGAAGAAGTTCAGGAATTTGCAATAGATCTTGTAGAACAGCTCAGACATTTTGCTCTAGCTCATGAAAAGGTGTCAGAGAGCAGGTCTTCAGTCTGGAGGACACAAAAGTTCATCCTTGTGTGTTGAGTCCTTGGTCCTAAGACTATGGTCCCAAGTTGTAAAGGCACACTGACAGTGAAGGACCTCAAAGGAAGCAATTTGGGAAGCTGGGGAGAGTGAAGGACAGAACAAAAAGCAGCCAAAGCTAATATTCAGCACAGGGTTTGCAAGAAGGAATGGATGCTGGAAACAAAATGAGACAGATAGAGCTTATTCTTCTGACAGCCATTTGGAAACTTTCATCCCCAGCCTTTGCTGGTGCCAAACCTTAGCTCAGGGAGGCCACAAATCACCAGTGTGGCCTCCTGAAAACCTTTTAACAGGGAATGAGAGAAAGGAAAAAGGCCAGAACTCAACAGTGGGGCTTGAAATAATAATTACTCGGCCACAGGAACATACAACAGCTCTTGGAACAGTAGGACAGGCAGATGGAAGTACAAATGGAGAGAAATTTTTAAACTACTTACTCGGGAACCTCTCTTGCCAGGTGGTCCTGGTAAGCCCGGCAGACCTGGTGGACCCTAGAAGAATAAAAGTAAGTATTAATGACAGTTCTATAACAGGATGGTGCCCCTGAGAGTATTTCAGGGAGACCCATAATACAACTATTTGGAGAAGACCTGAGGAGAAGGGCCAGTTATAACCCCACAGCCAGAATTTCACTTCAACTTATGCTATTATTATTTAAAGAGATAAAAGCCACGCATAATAACATCTGCAGAAGCGTGTATTTCACAGAGTACAGACAGAGCATTCACAGCTTTCTGCTGTGGACCACATTCCTGTGATCACAGCTGTGTTTCACACTTCCAGTTTCCTGGACCCATGCTGTAACACAACTGTCTCTCAGCTTCGGAGTTTCCTGCTACATGCTAGCACACAACAGAATATGTTAGCACCTTGTCGAGGGAGGAACATCCTGCATTGTCATATAGATCAGCTGAGGATGTATAATTCTTGGTATTGTAAGTTCCTACATGAGTTGCAACCTAATTGCATCCCAGCACTTTGTATTTTAAAGTTGTGTGTTATAAATTGTAATAAAATTGGTGTGGATGTTGGAAATTCTTAAATACAGCTCTAACATGGGAGAGGTCAACTCATACGTGTCAGAGTAATGGGGGTTCTTGGAAGAGGGTGAGAACAAAGCGGAGATAGCAGGCACCCAGCTGTGCACTGATCTGGAACAGGTTAGGAAAATATACTTAGCCAATGAGGTTTGAACTCCTTTGAATTAATTCATTCATTTATTCACTTTTTCAATGGACTGGAGAATTCACATTTCTGGAGAGACATTTGCAACTCCTAACAACTCCTCAAAACTTCTTTTCCCCCAAGCCAAACATGTCTAACAAGAATAACTGTTAATTAAAGTGTCTCCCAAAGGATTTATATTTTAGTAGCTTGTTATAAAAGACAAGTTTTCATTGCATCCAGCGGAGAGAGAGATCCAGAGCAGCAGACTGAAAAGGATGTTTGGAAGGCAGCCTGAGCTCTCCAACTGCGTGGTGGTCAGGAGAGCATGTCCCAGAAGCGATGCTCTGCAGGGAAGATGGGTGCATCGCATGGAGCAGGTGCAGCACAAGCCCCATGGCAGCATTCTGGCCCCAGCACAGCCTCATTCCCTTCCCACTGGGTCATCTCTGTAGGACCTCACATGCCTGATCACCCTGAGCAGACCCTGCTGCAAGGCTGACCCTGTTGCTGCTGAAGGATTGCCAGGCAGAGCTGCTCCAGCTCTGCAGTGTATTACTGCCTCTGAGGAAGAGTGAAAAGTTGAGGATGTCTAATGCAGTTTTCAGGAGTCACCAAGTGTCTGATTTAGTAACTAAAATAAAACCTGGAGATCCCTACGTACCCCAAATCTCATGCTGAGCATAAGACTTGGAACAAAGAAAACTTGTCTGAACCATATAGGTAACCAATGAATAAATACTCCCCTGATATTACCAGCTCTCCCATACATAAGCAGCAAATTAATTTGCATTAACACAATCTATTAAAATAAAAGACATATTTTTAAGACAGACATACAATGGTACAGCAGAAAAAAAATCATGGGAGGAGTAAGCAAAGCCCAGGGTAGTTCTCTCTGTCCTACTAATTTGTTAGGACATCAAATGGATCATAACATTTTTTTTTCTGTAGTTATTTCTATTTGTAGTAAAGATGACAAGAAAAGGTTTGTTTTAAAAGTAGAAGAGCCTACACAGCATAGAATAGCTAATGCCTCACACTGAGACACACAGGGATGGACTTCTGCCACCATATCACTCACTGCTACTGCCTGTCCTGGAGATTTCCAGTCCCTGTGGCCTGGGACACTTCATCTGACCCCTCTGCAAGTTGCTTATTGCTGTCTAACACAGTATTACTGGTCCTTGTATTAACAACCCTCATTGATACAGCTGACCCTCGTTTTAGCAATACACACAGCATTTGAACCTGCCATTGTACCAGCTCAGGGCCCCGTGCATAATGCAATTATACAGCTGTGCAAATAGACACATGATTGTAGGGTTTTTTAAAGCCTCGTGTATAATTGTGTTCCAGAATCCAAGCTTTTATTAAAAAAATCCCCTTGCCCTTTTAGTTGGGAAGATAACTATCAAAACATGAATCCAATGCAACAGATCTGGCAACAGTTAATAGAGTTTACCAAAGATTAATTCAAGTCCTTAACCTCTTCTCCATCAAAACCCATCCCCATTTACCCCTAGAAGGAAAACAAGATGCAACTGTCTGAAAACCATGTTCCTTGCGTACCAGAATTGAGGTGACCTTTTCCACCTTGAGCTAAGAGCAGCTGCAATTGCACTTGGCCACTTGAGTAAAAGCCTTCTCCAAACATGTGGGTTGTTCAGAATAAACTGAAGCTAACATAAAAATAAGGAGAGAGTCAATACCTGCACTGGAGTGGGAATATGGAGTTAAGGGAAAAGCATTTAGCTGGAACAGCACAGAAGCAGTTGTACCTAATTCAGGAGTCCCTATCATTTTGCTTTAGTTCAATTTGCCTTTTCTTCACCCTTTTTTTTTTTCCTTTCCTGAAAATTAAGAGGAAGAAGGTGACTGTGGGATGAGTGGCTAAAAGGTGCCAGCCACTATGGTAACTGCATAAGGCAAGAGTGTGACCGCACACAAATTAGCAGCAAGCCAAGGTAGAAGAGGACATGGGGTAGTTGGCTGAACACAGGTAGTTGTGAAACATGATGCACTGCAAGATCACCTTCCAGCTTCTCATATGGTTCCTTAGTAGTTGGGTTGGATGGTACATGCACTGTGCCTTCCTAGTTTCTCACTTCTCCTCCACCTTGTGCCCTGTACGTATCCCTCTAGATCATCCAGTTCAAGTTCTCAAACGAGAGGCCCATCTCAGACAACTGGCTTTGCCTGGGAAGAGCAATACTGAAATACACACGAAAAAACCACACATCCGCAGAGGCAGCTGGAGAGGAGTAAGACTGGATCAGGGCCCAGCTACTTACAGCTGATGGATGCAATCCCACTTGAAACACAAGGCTCCGAGAGATGGAGAGTAAGAGGCGTCTATCAACGAGTCACCATACAGCAAGTCGCTAAGAGTCCACCAGGAGGTAATGGCCATGCAGCACCCACACTCACCAGAGACATATCCACCCTCACCCCTAATGCAGGGAAGAATGAAACTGATCACACAGAGCCTGTGTGGACCTTCCCCTTGTACCCTTTAGAGCATCCCTGGGGAATTCCATCGGGAGCAGTGGGAAGCGCTCAGCTCTGAGAGGCAGAAAGGTTTCCTTTTCCTGGCAGTTGGAAGAAGATCTCACTTCTCTGCTCCTGCCCTCCCATTGCAGGGACACCCCATGAGATCAGCAAAGCTGACAGCCTCCTGCAGAGAGCTACCGTTCCTAGCACTTGGGTTCTTGTCTCTCTGGCTTCTTGCCTACTCCTTTCTGCAAACTGATGGCAGAGAACACACACTCTGTTATCACACAAAGCAAAATCAGAGATCAAGGAGAAACGTGGCAGAAGCAGATACTCTCTCTTCTCAAGCCAAACAGCTGAACTGTTAACCAGCCTGAGCAGTTCTGTGAAGCAGCTCATGGCAGCCACATAAAAGTTTAACCCCTCTCAGTTTCCCACGGTAGCATTAGCAAAGATGACTGATCCCACCAAATGGTTATAGGATTTATTCTAAGCTGCTGCTGGGAAACTTTCTGGTGCAAAGGGGACTTTTTTCTTAGCTTTCTAAGCATCAAATTGCAAAAGGAAAATTAAGCTAAGTTGTCTGAAAGGGAAATACATCGGACCCTGAGGACAAGGGAAACCTCACCATTTCCTCTTGCTGCAGAGATCAGCCAGACTCTCCTCACGCTGCTTCCTCTGCCTGCAGCAATGCCACCAGGACCTAGGTGCCTTCAAAACCTGAGCAAGTCTGAACCTGTTTGGAGAAGGCTTCAAGGAAAGCATGATCCATACAGGAATTGGTGCTGCTGGTTTGGGAAATTACTTGCTTCCTTTTGAGTGGCTACTAAAGCAACTTGCTCAGATAGCAAAGTATTCCTGTCATCGTTTCCCCAGGGGCGAGTACTCAGCCTAGTAGCAAATAGCTGACAGTTACCCAGGACACAATTCAGCTCCTATTCCAGTGCACACTGATGACTGGCACATCTAGATTTTAGGGTCTCTGTAATGTACTGCTGCCTCCCTGTTCTGTACCCCCACACAGCATCAGCAGCACAGTTCTCCTTTATCCCAGAAATGGTTGTTTCTGAGGTGGGCATCCTGCACTGTGGAAAACACTGCAAGGACTGAAGAGAGAATCTTCTTCTTTCTCAGATGTTAATGCACGTGGTAAAACCCAACTTAAAAGGGAGTTCAGAAAATGCATCAAAAGCTTCTCCTCACATTGACATCAAGTTCCAAGCAGTGACATTACCCCTGCAGACAGAGAACCTGTCTTGGTTTCTTCCTGAGAGAGGACGAGGCATATTTCATATGCAAGACCACTGCCTTGTATGTCTGAAGCACCAGCACAAAGGGACTGAGCAGCTACAGGCCCAGCACTAGAATTAAAAATCCTCTGCTCAGGAGAACAGAAGAAGAGAAGACCTCATGTTCAAAAGACACACCAACCCCACTTCACTGTCCTTGCCAGGCACTGTGCAGAGAGGGAGACAGGACCTAAACTAAAACCTGGCTTGAGGTATTGCTTAAAACAAATCTGCAAATTTTTTGGAAAAAAAAAAAAAAAAAAGAATTATAAATCCAGCAGTTTAGTTACTTTCTTCTCCAAGGCAGGTTTGTTCTATTATATTTGGACACATCTGGGTTTCAATCAGTCTAAAAAGAAAAAACCCTCATAATTCTGGCAGGAACCCAGATGTTGGGGGAAAGCCAGTCTTGTAATATGACTTCTGCAATAGACACAGATGTTTATTCTGGGTCTGTACAACACCTATCACAGAAAAGTCCTTGTCCACAATTGGATTCCTAATAAAGTAGCAGCACAATACACAGCAAAATACTAGTATTCCAGCTTGATGAAAGCAGCTTTTCTATAGAGACATCTCAGGAACAGTCTCTGCACGAGGCACTTCAGCCTCTTGAGCAATCTCAGACTTTGGAAGGAAGTCGGAAAGGGTGTGAAGAAATAGAGGGTTCCCATACTCTATCACTCACTTTCTACTTTTAAAGATTTCTAAAAATACCTGTATATATTTATACAATTCATCTCTACATCCTTTGCAGCACGTTTACCTCAATCACACTTCCAACTACTGCTCTTCAAAATGAATTTTGTTTTATGCAAATAGAGGGCTCTGATGCTTAGTTGGTTGCCTGCAAGATTTCCCTTTTGGGGATAGTTCTGGTTAAATTAGCAAAAAAATTATGATCCAACTGTGTGAGTGAGGCTAAAACTTTTCCCATGTATTACACAAAGCGTGCGATCTCCTTTTTTTTTATTAATATGACTCATTCATTAAGAGACATTCAAACACATTGTGTGTTCCTTAATTTATCATTAGGCTGTCAGCTTGAGTAGCCTTTTCTGGTACAAGGAGGATTGGAAATAAGCACTTCATATTTTATCAGCGCTCCCAATCACCTCTCTCTCCCCTGCCCACTGATTGAATTGGCAAGGATCGCTACTTTATGAAAGGAGCTGGGCTCCAAGACAAACTGCTCGTGCTGAAGATGGCAGCTGGAGCAGTCTAGACTGGGGACGCGCTCAGAAACACATCTGCCTTTGCAAGGAGGCTGCCTGCCAGAGTCACACCACACCTCTGGCCACGACGCTGCCGCCGGGGTTTGAACCTGGGGCTCCTGGCCGCACACTGCGCCCTGCGGATGGAAACTGGAGGCTGCTGGCACACCCGCCCGGGGACTCTTCCGACTCGGATGCTCGAGGAGTTGTTTGAAACATTCCTCTCCCTGCTCCTCTTGTGTTACTCAGTACTTCCACAGCCTCTTAGTGAACTCAGCCTGTTCCTCTGCACATTCACCATCAGGTATGGTTTCCTTGCTCTAAAAATAACCCTCAGATATTAGTCAAAAGAGTCAATATAGGGCTTCTTGTTTGCAGGGGCAAAAAAGCTGTGGAATCACAGTCTTATACAAGAGGAGAAAAGTCCAACCTGGGATACACTGTGTACAACTCAGCTAGACCCCAGGGCTGTGCCAGGGCAATAGGTTTGCTGCAGCTTTACCGTGGAACACAGAACATGCCCATCCCAGCAGGCAGTGCTGATGGGCAGGGGAGAGGGCTACAGCCCCCAAAACCTCCCCATCAAACCTGCTGCTGGTACAGACAAGCAAATGATACCTCATCCACCCCAAAGGATTCAAACCACCTATCACATCACAGCCTGGCAAGGACTTGAGGGTTTGACATGCTAGCAACAAAATACTGTTTTGTTTTGTTTTTTTTTTCAAATATTCTTTTTCTGTTGTGGGTGTCCTAGCTACTTGCAGCCATATGCTGGGGTCAGGTCGCTCTGCAAGCTGAGCAAAGGCCCATCTGGCCCCAAGCAGGGACAGGAGATCTCAGCAAGGCTCAGCAGAGGTGCTGAGGGCAGCTGTGGGGATGATTCAGAGGGACATGGGCCAGCTGCTGAATCAGTGCTGAGTTACTGACTTAGCATGGTGTTTGGGTGTTCTTTTTGCTATTTCCCCCCTCCAAAAGAAATGTAGAGCTGAGATCCCAAATGCTTGTGGTTATTAATGGTTCCCAAGAAATTTTTCTTTTTTAAGAGCATATTATCCTCCCTCTTCTAACCGCCCAGAAAAACCCAACATTCCTGAAGAATTAATGCTCTGCCATTAGTGGCATCTGGGACGCAGTGGCTCCATTTCCTGTTGTGCAGCACTGTGGTGGTCTTTCAGGACAGATTAATCCAGGGAGGGTGCTGCTGTTTACTGCTAGGTGACCAGATCCTTTTAGCCCCTTGCTTGTACTCCTCTATTCACATGGACACCACCTTCAATTGTGGGGAAGAGGCCCTTCTGCACAGCTAAGATTATACCACAGTTATTTTGGTAGCATTCACAAAGCCAAGAATTGCAGAGACCACAGTGCCTGAGTCATCACTGCCTCATACTCTGGCTGTCAATCACATCCTGATTTTGGGATGATGAGGATGAGAAAAGGTCCTTTCTCTCTAAGTGGAGAGCTGTACAGGCAAGGTGCTGCTGGCTGCCAGTCTGCCTCTGCCCATAAATCATTGCCAAGGTGGCCCCAATCCTTGCAGAAAAGGTAGAAGGCAGTTTCCCATTCACATTTCTCTGCCCAGTGTGACAGTCTTCTTGAAGAGACCTTATATCAGGCAACACAATTAGGAAAATTAATTAATCATCTTATCCTTCCACCCATGTGCCAGACTCCGGGTATGACGTTCCCAGCCCATAAGCTGCCCTGTCCAGGGAAAGCGCCGGGCTGTGTTATCACGCAGCAGAGCAGGAAGAGCTGCACTGACCTCATCAGAAACGTCTGCCCAGCAACGTGAGGACGGCGCCAGGTAATTACTCAAGCACAGAGCATTTATCAGCACTTGCTCTGAAACATGCTTGTCTGGCCATAGAAGTGCTACATTAATTTCTCAACATGTCATCCCCATTCCGGTCTTTTCTCCTCTGTCTCTTCCCACGTCAGAGACATCCAAAGCCGTATGGTACAGAGATCTCCGAGTGAGTCACAGGAGCTATCAAGCACCGCACGGCAGCCAGCTCCAGCTCCAGCCCAGCCATAACCTTTCCCTCCCAAAGTGCTGACTTTGTTTCCAGCAGTCAAAGAGGACAAGGCCAGACAGAGCCTCAAAATGTTCTCCTTTCCCTCAATTCTGGACTCCAGTTGTTCTCAGATGGGATGGAAAAATGCTGCAGTCTCTTCCCTCAGCCCTCCACAGCCTGAATCTTTTCTTTGCTATGATTCACAAGCTGAGAGGGATTTTCCACTCCAGTTTAATAACAAGTTATTTACATTTTGTGGGGGGAAGTGGGGGCTTGGATCTTGGTCACCCTCATGACACTTGCAGGACAAGGAGGTGGAAAAGGCCAGGATTTCCCTGGGCTCAGAGCAGCCCACCCAGATTGACCCCTCACAAGTAAGTAGCGTTTTAAGACAAGTTCACAATTGCTGAAATTCTCCTCTTGGAAATTATGCCCAAAATGACTCTCTGTGAAACACAAAGACTGCTCAAAGATAAAATCACTGAAGCTCACTCTGTTGACTCAAGGACTTAGCAAAAAATTTCCAAGTACAAAGAGTACAACAGGGATATGTACTTGTAAAGTCAGGCAGGAGTACAGGGCTGCCTGAGCTACATCCCCCTTGCCAAGGTCAGCATCTTCACATCTCCCAAAGATGGGAACCTTCCAACCAAACACACCCCTCAGTGACTCCCCACCTAAATTTGAAGGAGAGAATTCACCACACTGCTTTGAAATGGGACAGGCAAGAAAGGCAGACCTTGAAGGTAAGCATCCATTGAGGGCTCAGCAAAACACAACCATTTCACTTTAGGTGCTACCTGCAACAATGAGCACCTCCTCTGGAGACACAAATGCTGTTGATTGTGTTCCTTAAGCTAGTCTCACAATTTCCATTGTAAATCCTTCTTTCACTACTTTAAGGAGTCAGCTGTAAAAATTTGCTCTAGGCTGGAACTTGGCAACTAAAACCTCTGTCTGGGAGGAACTTATTTTACATGTACAACCCCTCTCTCATATACACAATATAGCAAAAGGTTTGGGTTGGAACACCAAATCCTCCTAAAACTTGGCCAGTTTAAAGATCTTGTTTGCATTCTTGCATTTCGGAAAAAAACCCAACAACCTAGTGGATAATTAGCATGGCCTGACTGCTTTTAGCATTACAAAATGTGTGTATACTTTTATGAAGGCCAAGATATACACCCCGAGAGTGGTTATTGTGTGTGGAATGCAGTAGTTAAATTTATAAAGGAAACTCTTTGCACATTTTAAGTGTGGCCTATAAGAAATAAAATTTAAAAATCCCCAAACTTATACCATAAAAATAGAGGAGAGGTCATTAAAAAAAATAAATCCTGAAGGAATCTCTGTACGTGCATTTGCTGAAACAGGGCGTTTTCTGGAAATGTGAATTTCAGGTACAAAACAAATTAATAACCAGGATTTAGAAATAATTTATTTGTGGCATGTTTTTGAGGCAACTGAGTTTTCTCTGGAAGGTGACTGGTGCCCTCTCGGCTCTACGTAAAACCAGGGGTGTGGAACACAGCCTCAGCCTGGCCATCAAAATTTTAACCAGCAACTAGTAGAAAATAAAGTAGGAATTTTTTTTTCTTTTTTCTTAAATCTATCATTAATCAGCAACTTTAATCACAAACTTTTTAAGGGGCATCCACCATCACAAAGCTTTCAAGTTCACGCTGAGATATATGCTAAAATTGTGATCATCAGAAACAGAACAGTGCTTGGCTGCTATTCCAAGTTGTCATACTCCACTGAGCTTTACAGAACCCTTGTAGGTTTTAGTCTGCCAGCCCTTTAGCTGATCTGTGTCTGGGAACAATTAGCATTAAAAGCTTGAACTTACCTGAGGCCCTCTGTCTCCTTTAATCCCTGGATATCCCAGTAAAAATGGAAATGGAGTGGGTCCAAGGGGGTCAAAGATTTGATAGCCATCAGTTGCAGCTGGGGTTGTGAGGTTGAAGGCCTGTCCCTTGGCTCTCGAGATGGGACGGGCAGACCCCAGGGGTGGTTTGGTGTACACCAGAGGTACAGTACTGGGATACACTTTCCTGGTGGGGGACGGCACGTGCTTCTTTGGCCCATTGCTTGGGTTCTGTGGGGTTTGCTTTAGGGTGACAAAGTGAATATTGCTGGTTGTGTTATCAGTCATCCTCCTCATTGGCTTTACAGTACTGGCTGCTTCAGAGGGCTCAATGGTTGGTTTTTGGTTGATCTTCTTTTTGGTCTCTTGCTTGGACTCCTTCCTGCTGGCCATGGCAGGGCTCTGGCTTGTTGGTGGGACCTTTTTGGCAGTGGGAAGGGGAGTTTTCTCCATGCGTGTGCTGGGAGTGGGCCGAGACACCCTGAGGGTTGTCACTGTCCCTCGAGGGAGCGAACGGGTGGGTGGCTGAGTTTCAGTACTTGATGGAACAGGAGATGGGGCCACTGTGACCTTTGTGGCTTTGGATGTCACTCTTGGCAGTGATGGTGGGGACGATACCAATGTGACGGTTGTTGCACCTGAACCCCGAGTCTTCAGGGGTGCAGTGACCCTGCCAAACTCCAAGGATGGGGCAGCAGTGGTCAAGTTTTTCAGACCCTGAAGCGAGAGCTCTATATGCTGTGGGGTACTCGGGGAGGCACTGGGATCCCTGGGCAGGAGGGGGATGAGGGGGGGCAGGTTTGGCCGGTAGGTATCTGCTTGCCTGCACTGTTTTTTCAGGTATTTACAGTAATGATGAGCTGCCTTGGCAGAAGGATAAATATCAAACTGGCAGATGGCTCCTTCAAACTGCACCGAGTGCTGGTTCATCTTCCCAAAGAGGAAAGATCCATGTGGATCCAATGCCTCATCCTTTTTAAAATGCAAATCCGCATGTACTCTGTGCTTCCCACAAGAAGTAAATAAAGTGACTGTCTGGCCACGGATATCGATGGCCATATTGTGCCACTGGCCATCATGGACATTGTAATCAAAATATACAGAGCGCTTGTGGCCCACATACACTATGATCTTCCCAGGCACAAACTGGACCCCCAGCTGCAGTTTTTTCTTTTTGCTTTTGACAGCAAAGAGAAAAGCATTGTTGATGCGGTGGGAACAGAGGCTCAGCACTAGGAGCAGGTCCGTGCTGGAGCCTGCGGGGAGGATGGTGCTGACCGGTGCTTCGACACGTGCTCGCTGAGTGAAGATGACCCCTGATTTGAAAGGAATAACCCCTTGAGGAACTGTACGTGATGAGGACCATCCACTTGATGGCCTTTTCCCTGACAGGCCCAGTCTTTGAAGAACATCCACATCTGAAAGGGAAACAAAGGAAATGTGAGATGTTGGGCAACTGGAGGGCTGGATGGATATGGGGGGTCAAGCCAGTCCCTGCAAAAGGGTAACAGGGTACAGGAAACCCCAACCATGCTTTCACACATAACATTCAGAAAATCAGCATGGAGACCATATAGCTCTTGTGCACGTAGTGTGAGGAGCAAGTGCATGCCCAACTTTGCAGTTGCCAAAACACATCAGTTCCATGGTGCATCTGGCTAGCTGGTCTGTCCCACCAGGGACCAGCTCCAGATGTTCTGGAGGGAGCTGACCTCACTACAAGGAAATTTCCCACTGAGTACCAATAGTCCACTTCTCTGGGATTTAATTCTGAGTACTGACCACACAGCTGGAAAGGAATTTGAACAACAGACTGAGCTGGGATTGCAAAATTTTATATCCCCAGAAGGCAAGGAACAGAACTTTCAAAGGGAGTAAAAGCCTTGTATCTGTCTCTCTCCAAATTAGTAAGAAGCAGCTTTTGATCTTTGAGACCCTGGAGAGTTTAGGGAAGCAAAGGTGCCTCCCAGCATGAATTGCACCTAGATTTCACTGAAACGCTTAAGGTTCTCAACAGCAGCGCTTTTTTTCCCCAGAAGATCATCTTACAGCCTTAAATTATTTTAATAAGTTGGAGAAGCCAGACTTGGTTCGCAAAGAGCTGAGAAATTAGCTATGGCTGCCACTGAGCAGTAGAGGTAGGACTCATCTCCAGCATTTGCCACCTAGGAGCTGGGTGCCTTGTTCAAGAAAGGATGAGAGGAATTGCTGTCCAGAGACACCCTTTTCTCTCCACTGACTCCAGGAGAAGCCTGCAATGGACAGATAAGCAGAATCTTCTGGTTTCTGGCCCCAGGGTCTAACAGGAGTCACACACAGCTCAGAGTCCAAGGCAGATTAGCAGGCAACAGCAACACAGACTGGAGCCAGCTGGCAGCAGTCTCAGCTGAACTACTCAACTGGGGAAGACGCCGAGGTCTACATGAGGAAAGCTGCAAAGGTAAATGTGCCCAGACCTGAAAAAGGTGTTCATGCACCCAAAAGCCTGTTCTCTTACTCCAGCTCAAACACTTGGTCTAATAAGAGATGTTACCTACATGGTATAGACAGATAAAAGGTAAGGCTATAATGATTACCATGACACTACCACTGTTGAAAATGAGCTAGGATGACTGTATTTCCTTCCCTCCCCAGATGCAATCCCCATTACTCGGTGACCAGCTAACTCTCATGTGGTTAAGTGCTCTTTGGGGAAGCTGGCTTGGGCTGTATAATCCAAACGCTGATCTTGCAAGGTAAGAATTTAACATTCAGAAATGTGTCAGTGCCAATCACAGCTGCATGTCAGCTAACATCACGGATTACAGCTTTCCTAGATTAAAAGGAGAAGTAAATCAAACATTGTCCAAAATAAAAAACTCAAGTTCTTTGTCTAAAGGGGCCTTGGAATTTGACCTCTTTCATCCTTAGCTATTAAATATTCAGCACAATACCCAATATTTGGAGAACTGGCACTTGAAAGAGACCCTCAGCATTGTCCAGAAGGCTTGTAGACTCAAGCCAGTCTGAGGCCTGTAATGTTGCTGGCCAGGAAGGGAGGAGGATAACGAGAAAACCTCTGTTCCTTGACTTTGGCAAAAACCTTGGCCATTTTTGTACGCAAGAACAAGTCAATCAATATTTACTTTGTCTGAGCTCAGCTTTATTCCCCACCTCCCTTTTTTAAGGCAGCTTGACTCATTTTCTAGCAGAGACTACCCTGGATAAGAAGTGCCAGATGTGACAGGGGATGGAAATTTTCCCACTCTATACAGAGGTGACAATTTACCACACAGCATGTGCCAGTGTTAATAATGGTACTTCTCCCATACTAACAAATCCTTGGTCCCTCACTGGTTTTATGCCATGTTGCCCAACAGGGCTGTCCCTCAGAATAGCAAAGGCAGAGCCTTCCCTTCTCTGCACTGAATGGAGGAATCACAGCAGTATCCTCATGCTGGATCATCTCCAGAGCCCATGAAAAGGCCAAAGAGTGGCTCTAGCAAAGTGGGACCCTTGCCACAGACTTCAAAGGCATCAGGGTTTAGCCCTAAGGAAATAAATTTATCACTTAAACCTGAAGCTAGACACCAGCTTCCAATTTCTATATGTATTTTTAGGTTCTCTCCCAGAGACCAACAGTGATGTCTCTCTATTAGGCAGAGATGCTTCACCCTCCAGGAGCTATTCATTTGGTAGCTGCTCTGCAAAGACGTAAGGATGTTTCCCTGCTCAGAGGATGTCGCTGCTGTTTGCAATACCAACCCAACTGCCTCATTAGCAACTGCATCCAACAGTGCTTAAGAAAAAGGAAAAACAAGCACAACCCAACCACTCCTTTAGCTCAAAACCCACTAAGGTAGAGCCAAATTCTAGATGCCTACGCAAAACCTGATTAAAACAGATCTCATGTAGGACGTGTGTGTGGATTTTCCAGCACCAGGTCCAGGCACACAGCTCAGGACTCCAGTGCACCCAGCCGTCTGCCTCCCCATCCCATGCCGACTGCCCTGGGCTGGTGGGGCACATCCCCTGGGATGATGGGATGTCATCAACTAACGTAAAGTGCAAGGTAATTTTGGCTTCCTTAAGTAGGTCCAAGTTTAGCAAAGCATTTTTTCCCTTTTAAATTTTTTCCTCTGTAGATTTTTCCATCAAAACACATTATTTAAAAAACCATTTAGTTAGAGCTGCCTGGTCCCAGGTGCCTTAAAGCTGGTTGCAACATTTGAACAATTGGGAAAAGCCTCTAGCAGGCTCTGTGCATGGAGATGCACAGATTCCTGAACAATCACATGATCATTTCTGAAAGAGGGGATAAAATGTTTTATTGCGCTCTTTCCCACCTCTTTCTTTCCCTCCCGCTTTCCCCACGCAAAAAGCTTTAGAAGAAAAAGAAGCCAAAAGGCAGGAGAGAAATAACTTGAAGCTTCCTAGATTCCAGCAGCTGAGATGTGATGCCCACAGCTAAAATTGGGTTGAATAAACACTACATTTCCAAAATGAACTCACTAACCTCATGATCTTTTGGATTTGTAACACTTACGGAAAAAAATCATCCTCTGTGTTCCCTGATTTTCCAGTGTGCGGGAAGACCCCTAAGACTCAGAACTGCAGTGTTTTCAAAAGCCTGCAGCATGGGCTTAATTTCATCCTCTCACAGATCTATGAACGAGCTCTTATTTACCTTTCTAAATCTCATGTTTGAAAATCCTGAGTGATAATACAGTCTCAGGTCACCAATGTTTCCTTACAGCCTTTGCTTCCTTGGAAGCTTTTATGTTCTGGTACCCAGAAGAGCAGCCTGTGTCTGATTGTGGGGAACCAAGCAAGATTTTTAAAAATTCCTTTATCATAGAGAAAGTATCTCAGAGGGGAATTATCTACCACACTAAGGTAATGCAGTAAGAGCGAAGTGAAAGAGTTTCCTTTAGATTAATGGCAACAGTCAAGAGACATGGCACCATCCCATAATTATCATGGGAGTGAAATGACGGATAGAGATGAATCTAAACAGCATATTAAAATCTACTTGAAAAAAAGAGACGCCAAGACACAGTATTTGTTCTGCCTCTTTATGAGCTGACATAAAACTTGCTCTGAAAACTGCTTGACTAAGTAATTCAGCCAGATGTTCGCCTCTTTTGCACTGAAGCAGAATTTGGAAAATATTACATTTTTCAAAATTGCTGATGGCAGGGACGTATTTTTTTTTCCTCCTCCTGTAAAAAGTGCTCCATGGGCTGGCTTACAGCTGAGCATTCACCAACTTTCTATTTTTCCCCTCATGTTTTGGAGACTAAGAGGAGAGCCCTGGAGCCTGCTAGTCCACTTATTGTTGTCTACTGATTGTGGAGGAAGCTGTTCAGTTCCAGCATATACCCGTGTAAAGCATCTGTGTGGAAGAGGTGCTGCTATTTTAAGAGGAGGCGGCTCCTTTACAAACAGATGTTGCAGAGAAGCTCAGCTCCCTCTATCAGCTGATGAATTTATTTTTGGTTTTGTTAACTTTAAAGCTTTATCTCCTCTTGCAGGGTCATTGATTATTGTACCCCAATCTTTTGGCCTCTCCCCAGCAGCACTGGGAGGGGATGCCTGGAGAAGAGGTGTAAAGGCAGGGTGAAGGTGTATGATCCTCTACAGAATACTCCTCCTGCAGCGTAGGGACTGAGCCAGATGTAGTCATTCTATTATCAACCACCTTTGTGGGATTTTTCTTCCTTAAATTTGCTTTTACTTTTAGAACTCACCTCATTTCTGTATGTATAACATCCTCTGTGCCTGCAGAGGTACGATTGGGTTGCATTCAAGTCAAGGAAAAACTTGTCTGCCAGAGCCGCTTAATTCCTTAATGCCCCAGCCTCAAGGGGCACTTACTAAAAGCAGTTAAGTACTAGAAGCACAGGTAAATGCCAGTGACATTTTAGGCACACCAAAATGCTTCATTCCCACCAGTTCTACCAGACAGACAGGCACTTCTGAAATTCCTTTGGGGCATGTAATCACCTGTAAAATTCTGGTTCTTTTTCCAGCTGTTAACTGCGTCATCAATATCAACTGTACTGCAATGATCAGCAATAAATGCATTTAATCCTGTGCACTAGGCTCAGATGGTCATTAATAATGGTCCTAAACTGACACCAAAGCACTTGGCTTTTACTTTGGTTAAAAGAAGAGAGGAAAAAAAAAAAGTGTAACTTACCTTCAGAATTTCCCCGTGTGAATCCCAGGAACCAGGTAAAACATAATACAGTCCAGAGAAAGCAGAATCCTCTAAAATTTGAAGAGAAGAAAAAACAATGAGTTCCTGCAACACTAGTAACAAAAACTAGCCCCCTCATTAAGGGTCTTCTCCTTGATCACAAGTCTAGCAAAGTCAGTGGCAGTGTCCATATGTCTCTGGGAAATGAGAACGGGTGCTCAGCAGAGACGTACTTGCTTCTGACTGAGATTTCATTTTACTACTTTAAAGTCATCTAAACCCCACCGAATTCAGAGGAAGCTTTCCCACTGGTGTTAGGGGCTGTTGATCAAGCTTTGAACAAGGACCAGACCAGTGTTTGGAGATGCAGAGTCACCAGTGCCAGGTCAGCAGTCCCTTTGCTACTGCTCCTCTTTGTCACTCATCCTGTCTAGGACGGAACACCAGAAATGCAAGAGGATAGAGAAATAATTAAAAAAATGGAAAGTCAAAAGACATGCCAGGAGTACATGTCTGTGAGGACATGGGTAGAAAATGAGCAGACACATGGTGACACATCACCTGCATCTCACCAAACATTGAGTCCTATTGCTCTACTACATGCTTAAAAATGTCCTAAACATACAAAATCCTACATGGCTCTATTCCTCTTTTTACAGCCAGATGCAAAGATGAGGGCAGCTTCTAACCACTCAGCATCCTATGCTGTTGCTGCTAATGACATTCTCATTAGCTTGGTATTGCAGGAAATTTTAGAAAGTGTGAGAGCTGCAGACCCCCAAGAACAGTGTGCTCACTGACCCTTTCACACCCAAGAGGAAACTGGACAAACATTTCTGTTGGCTAAACTTTAAGCCCTGAAGTACCATTGGAAGCAGTAGCAGATATGAAAACTTTTACCAGGAAGGTAATAGAGGTTCCCCTTCCCCCACCAGCTTCCTTGATTTGTAGCCAACTAATGAACATAGGAAACTCCGTGGTTAAGCTCACTTAAAACTGTCAGTGGAAAGTGTGAAGATTGAATTCCCTCATCTTCTAGAGATGATATTTAACAGCCTGATCAGCAAGGGCCGCTGGAAGAACAGAGGCAAAAATGTAAACTACAGAAAGTCCTCAGCCAGAAGAAAGCAGCGTGGGACATCCACAGGTTGTTCTTCATTTCAGCTAAGCCAGGGCGAAAAATGGGATATGCAGAGCAATGCCAAAGCGCAGCTTGCTCCTCTCCAGATCTGGCAAAGACAAACCATTTGTAAAATGGGATTAGAGACCACTCTTCTCCTGCCACCAAGTCTCAGCTTTAGAGCAAGAAAACACCCTCTAAGACAGTGTATTACCCTGGGCCAGATACTCATCTAGTGCAGGAGACCTTTTCCCACAGCTAAAATGAAGCCAGTGATTTACACATCAGTGGAGAAATCTGGCCTTGAATGTAAAAATCCATGCAGGACTCCAATATTTTAAGGCTTGAAGGGACAAAATACTGGCGCAGCCCTGCATCGGCTGGGAAACAAGTGAGATGAGCCACATCATTCTTTGCTGTTTCCATTACCCTGATGCTGGGCTGCACATTTCAGGAGCTCTGGGGCTGCTTTAGTTTATGCATGAAGGAACAACAGCTTGGAATAGTCAAATCACGAGGGTTTTTTTGCCATGTCCAATGGCCAACCATGGTGAGGGAAAACCCTCACTATGCTCAAGAAAAGTCCAGCTGGGGAGACTTGGTTGTTTTCTGTCCACTTCATCCCACAAGACACAGGTCTTGGGCTGAAGACGTTGCTGAGTTCAAGGAGAGCTGTTGTCCCAGTTCATTCAGGGGATGTACGAAAGGGAGGAGAGAATAGGATTCTTCACAGCCACCTCTAGCAGAAGTCTTTTTATAGCTTAAAAGAGGTTCAAATCCACTCAAACCCACAGAAAGACCAGTGTTTCTGTGCTCACCTCCAAAGGAACAATGCAGTTTTAAGATGCAGGGACAATTCCATGTGTGCATGGAATGAAGACCTCACTGGATATCAGCAGCTAGACTTGACTGCCTGATGAGAGCACAGGAAGATGAGGTGAAGGTGGTGACAACATGACATGAACTCCAAGGGCAGCAGGAGTCCCAAGCACTAAGAACACATTTTCTGGTGAGGATCAGATTTGTACAGCTATGTACAAACACTTGTACACACAACACACCTAATTGAAGTCTAGCTCTTTTTTGGAGGGGTACCTTCACAACCCAAATTTGCTTCCAAAATCCCTGTTGACCAACACAGTGAGGGGAACAAGCTTTAGGAGAAAATCCAGCACGTAATTTCATTCCAGTGACACTGACGGGGCTATAAAGGAGACGAATGCGCAGCACAGGATCCAGCTGGCCTCAGCCCTGCTCCTGGACCCCTCACACAGCCAATACCGTAAGAGTTGAGAGCAGGGCCGAGTGCCAAAACACTGAAGAAAAACACTTTGGCAAAATTTACCAACTTAATGGAAAAAGCAAAAGCAGCTTCCAAATGGCAGACCTGTGACTGATGGGGCTGTTAATTATTGTAGGATTTTATAATGCAGGCTCTTTTTCCGTTACAACTCTGCAGCGACAGGATTGCATAAGCAGCTTGAGAAGCAATAGTAAAGGAAGATTTTTTTCCTTATATAGAGCTATCAAACCCACCTTGCCTTTATCTCAGCTTCTTCTCACAAGCAGTGACTTCCAGAGAGACTCTGTCAAGAGGAACTCACTACAGGCATTTCTTTCTTTTATTGCACAGGCTCCATGAGTACTAGAATGAGGATCCCACTGCTATAGTCACTAGGTGAAGAAGTGCCCCTAAGTACCTCTGTCGTAAGCTCATGTGAACCCTAAAACTTTTCCAGTGCAGACAAATTTCCTTTATAGCAAACAAGCTACTGACTACAGCTTAATTTTGCTTCACTACTTTTTTTAAACTCCTGTGATCAATCCATGGGAACTAACCAGTGTCAGAAGTGCAAGGCAAAAGATAACTTACAGAGAGGGACAGAAAAGCGCAAAGACCAGTAATATTCTCAGCCTTGGTGGTGACTTTAGCATCTTGCCAGTGAGGACCACACGCGTGCAGGTCACAGCCAAGAATAAATATCTCGAGGAGTTCCTAACAAAGAGCAACCAGAAGGTCTAGGCACCACTTCTGATGGGCCTTCAGGACAGGTAGGAGGTAGTAGTAGTACGTAACAACCTGGAGACCTGATGAAATTCTGACTGTACAATTCCAAAACTGTGTCCTGGGTTTCCAGCTTCCAGACTCATTGCCATCTTCTTACTGAGCACTGAAAGATCAGACTTTTGAGAGCAGTAAGTTGTGACTTGGAAGCTAAAGAAGAGTTATCACCCCTCTGGGTGGCTTGTGCATAGGGTGTCTGTCTTGCTGCTAACCCCGGTAAAGTCATGTTCAGGGTGACAACCTCAAGGGCAAAAGTAAAGGAAAAATCCTGGTGAACATAATCAGTTCTTACCTGACAAGCACTGGTATAAAGCACATTACTGAACTAAGGACAATGGTAGGACTATAGCCTCTAGGGGAGACTTGCTCAGGCATTATCCTCAAAAAAGTGCAAGTTTAACAAAGCTGAAGTGATCTGTAAAATAGTTGTGATCAGCTAGTACTCCATAATTTCTGGAGTTGGTTGGAATAATTTCAACTCTTTAAGTAAAAGATTTGCCCCTGCCTTAGAAAAGTCCAAATGATTCTGACATTTTGTTTGCTTAGATGATGGGTCGACACCAGGGCCCAAAGCAGCATTTAATTTTCTATTTTGTTTTCTCCTTCATTTACAGTAGGGAAATATCTTTGAAATTGCAAACATTTTTGCAGGGTGGAAAAACAATTCCCTCTCACTCCTCCAATTCAGGTGCACTTTTTTCTGTCCAAAAGACCAGAAAGCCAGCTGGATGCTGAAAATTGCTTTTCAAGAAAGGCAAAGCTACTTTTCTAGCTGTGGATTAGACAATGTTATCTTAAAAGGAGAAAACATCTATGTTGCTTAAGATCCTTTGCACATGACTGGAGGTGATATAAGACTCCCAAACAGTTTTGACAGTCAACAGGAAACAAAATTCACAACCTACATACTGAGGCTTTAAACTGCACTACTGCATTGATTCCATACCCAATGTTTTGGGGTAGAAATCTTATTTTGTACTAGTATCATCCTTTGCAGAGCAGACTTCTACTCTCTTTTGGGGGCTTCTGGAAACCATGGTATTTCTCCTCTCACTCTCAGTTTCTAGAGAGAGCAATGGGAACGTATCATTATGTAGATGTCCCTGTATTGACCCTGCATAGTCCTTTGCTGGACCTTTTCTGGGGTATAAACCAGCTGTTGATTTACACCTCCAGTCAAAGATTTTGCCTGGTGCACACAGGCGCTGTTGCCAAACCCAGCACTCTAAGAAGAGAGTTTCTGGGGTGACTGAAATGGTATTAATTTTCAACCCCTGCTTCACCATTTGCATTTTTAAGAAAAAGGAGAAAGTAGACAAGCAGATATGGCCCAGACAGATACATTTCCATGGTCATTTAAGAATACTGAGAAATCAAAGAGTAATCTAGAAACTGTCGATATTAAGTGCGGATGAATGAAATTCAGTACCCCTCTAAGATTTTAATATTTTAAAAAGCGCCTCAAAAATACCATCCAGCATCAAGTACACATAACATCCAGAATCCAACCCACTGTTCCTGGACACGATTATCAAGAGATTTTCAGATAGCTAGAAATTCATTACACCTGCAGCCATAAGAGGAAAGGATGAGGTGGGACATCAGTGCACAGAGCTTGAAGAGCACTCAGAGCAGAGTACAAAGCGGAGGATTTCAAGATTGTTGCACCATTATTACTGGTGACTCCAGTAGCCCAAGTGGGGAAACTCTCTAGGATGGGAAACCCTCTAGGCCAGACTGCAACCCATCCTTTGGGTGATCCTGAACAGGAATGTCCAAATTCTTCCACCCTGCCCCAGAGTTTGGAGCATACATGCAAACCCAGAAATTCCCAGGGTTTCTCTGGCACCAGTTCTGCCAAATTTAATCTTAATGCAGGATGAAAATGCTTTCAGTGCTGTGCCTGTAGAGGTCTATCTCAGGGCTTTGTCAACTGTGACCCAGAAAAATGTTGTTGCTTCCATCAGAGGAGGCCCCTGGTAGCAAAATAGTGACCCACCAAGGCCTAATGAAAGGGTGGAATCCTGTTCACTAAAGAGAGGGACCTCAGCTCCTGGCAATGGTACAGCAGTAGCTCTCCAGTACTGCAGAGAAGCTTTGCTCTCCTACAAGCTTGCCCATCAGTCAGGCACATGGAGGGTCTGGATGCATAAAGGTCTGGTATTTCCTCCCCCAGCACCTGTAGCTCCTCTTAGGATTTCTCCAGGAGGGAAATACTAATCTGCAGTGCACAGAATGTGGAGATGAAGCGTCAGTGTGGCCAACCCTCCCTCCTGCAGACACTTCACACCTTGTTCTTTCAAGGATTTATGCTGATATCTGCAGACAGAAGTCTGATGGGTTTCAAACCACTGGTCTTTGTCCTCCTAACTGGAAACTAGAGCTTGTGTACTCACTGCACAAAGCTGGCCCAGGGCTGACCAGCTCCTCTGAGCTCCTGCTGGTGACAACCTGCTTCCTCACTTGCTAGATGCAAGACTGACTGACCAGGCTGTGATGACTCAAATACGGTCGCAGATACCTCCCAGCAACTTTCTACAAGGGGGGATCTTTCCTGGCAACCCATTTCTTGCTCTCCTCTTTGCTCTCCACCCTTGTCTGTCTGGATTATTGACTTTGCTGCTGTGCGAAGCGACAACACTCACTATTGGCCTTTGCCTTTGTGTTCTCAGTTAGTAACTGGAACCCTCAACAAACAGAAGTGCTAAGCGTGATCTGTCATCTAACTCCTTTTTTGTCCTTCCAACAAACGCCTTTGCATTCCTTCACTTTGTGAATGGGGTTTGGCAGAGCTGTATAGAATTCCCCATTGTTTCCATTTACATTTCAGTAAGCGTCCATCATCTCTAGTTATGCCCCCTACAAATTAGCAAAGAAAGAGGTGTAGGGGGGAAACCCATATGCTCTGGGTATGTCTCTGGTCAGAGATTTCCTACAAACCCTTCACCACAAGACCTGGGCAACCTTTGGTCAATAATGTAACCTGTAAACACTGTTTTCAAGCAGGGCAGATTTTATCCCCTCAACCCACTGCAGAAAGAAGATGAAGCTGGAACTTTATTAAAAGGACCTACTCAGGGAAGCACATTGAGGCAGCAGGAGAGGGGGGACCTGGACACTGGACCTCAGCTTGTAACCTTAGCTGTGACACTGCCCTTCCCTCCTGCAACACAGCTCTAAGAGTTGTGCAATTGCCTCTTCTCTACCCTAAGGTACCCATTGCACACATTCATCGTTCGCCTGCCTATTGCTGCCATTGCTGAATTTGTCCAACAGTGACATAATTTGTCCCCAGATCACCTGTCTGGCATGCAGGCAATGGTCTTCTCTTCAAACAGGAGCTGTGCCTTTCTCCAGCCCCTCCAGGCCTTCCTAGGGGCTGACCCACCTTGGGGGTGCCAGATGGGTGCTGTACCACCATACATGCAGCTTTCTCATCCAGCACATAACCCAGGCAGCCCCAGAGCAGCATTATGCCAACAACCCAGACCTGTGACAACAAGCAGGCATCCAGCATAGACCTCCTGGAGCATCAGGCAAGCCTCCTCCGTGGCCAGCACACAGTGCTGGGGCTGGAAGAGGCCAAGATAACACAACCACAGCTGAACAGCACAAGTGCTACGGTCTGGACACGTGCTCAATGCATGGCTGAGTGCAAAACCTTCTTCTGTGGTTTATTGAGCCCGTGCTCACTAAAAATGCATCAAGAGAAATGATCAAGAGGGTCATTTTAAGCTTGCAGAACCTATAAAACTTTGTGTTCTTCTAGTTTTACAAGCTTTGGCTGCTCGAGCCAGGACAAGGCTTCAGCACACTCTACAACTGCTTCTCCTTCATTGGTGAGCCATCCCATCCATGGGTCTCCTGCACCTCTGGCAGCTCCCCAGCCACCAGCCCCACTCTGGAGGATGCCGCAGGAGCGCTGGGACAAGTGGGACCCCCAGTGCCACATGGGAACACACCAGAGGGTCCCATTACAAGATGCCTTCAGGCAGCACCATCCTCACCCACCCCGAGAAAGACTTGGCCGCACAAGGGTGGCCTGACGAGCCCAGGTACAAGCCAGCTCTGGCTCAGAGGGCCTTCTCCAAGACTAAGAGCCTCAAGAGGAACATCCAGCTGTGGGAATGGTGGGATGCACAGCACTCAATTCAGCTAAGCAAATCAAAACCCAGCACCAAAAAGCCCATTGAAATATAATGCGAAGGGTAGCAAGCGACCTCTGCTGAGAAGGGAACGGATCAGCAGCACGCTGGCGAGGTATTTAACCCAGAAGAGATCCTGGGAACAAAAGGCACACACATTCAGAGTCACCAGAAAGGACCAAAGCACACATTTCTCATTGCACTGCAACACTCCAACCCTGAGCAGCCGTGCACAGCGCTAGCCTGGGACACCGAGATGTACGAACAGACACAGAGCTCTGGTGAGCAGGCAGCCACGCTGCCTTCTCCTGGGTCCCCGTTTCTTAACCCTGGCCTCAGCAGGGTCTGACTTGCCCTGGGACACAAGCAGGATCTCCCTGTCCTCATCTGCAGCACAATTGTGGTCAACTTCTCCATCGTACGCACAAGCTGGTGCTCTGTGAGATGACCGTGCCTCGTGCCAAGTATCTCCCCAGCATCAGGGCCCTTCCCCTCGCTGTGACGCGGCACCACTCCCGGTCTTTCAAAGGAATCTTTATCTGTCTGTTCCTCTTTCAACTTCTCCATTTTTGACAGCCAGCCACCCTCACACGGTCCCAAGCAGGCGTTTCACTCCAGACCATGCCCCAACATTAAAAAGGTGCAACTGGAAGACACTGTGGTTACCAGCATCTCCAGACACACCACAGCCACGTCCGGACAAAAAAAAAAACCCCAACAAAACCCAAAACCTCTCAAGCACTGAAATTCAGTCCTTATGAGTATAGAAACACACACAAAGGTTCCGGAGGAGAGCGGGTTGCAGCCCCTGGGAGCTGTTCTGATCTCTCCCCAGAACTTCACACACAGCCACATGCAGGGAGAGCGGGGCTCAGCCTACAAAGGAAACTGCACATTCATCCACCTCCAGACTCCAGTCCTGCACTACTGGGGCGGCTGCCAGGAGCGGGGGGACCCTCGGGGTGCTGCCGGGGGAGGGGGTAGGTGCCCCCAAATCCTTTTGCCCTGTTTCCACCCTTTCACCCCATCTCCCAGCCCAGCCTGGCAGAAGCAGAGGGATCCTGTACACAACTTTTTCAAACTGCCAGGCAGAAGAATCCCAGTCTTTCCAAGGGAGTGTCGGTAAATCATCATTACATCCGACAACGCAACCAGAGGGATTAACCCTTTGATGGTCCCCTGGAAAATAATAATAATAACAACAACAACAAACTTAACAATGAAAATAGTGAAAGCTGGCTCCAGCTGTGGGAGAAAGAGGCTGGGCAGGGTGAGTGCTGCAATTTTTTGTATGTACATATATAGATAAAAAGAAGGATTTGTGTGCGTGTGTGTACTGAGCACATGAAGAACATGCCACCAGCACCCGCCGCCTGTCTCGCTGGCTGTTCCTCAGCCCTCCCCATGGCTCTCCCACTTCCCGGAGGACCGCGGCAGCAGCGATCTCCAGGTACTCGTGTCCCCACGTCCCCGCGGGACAGGGACAAGGAGCAGCATTT